GAAATTTCTATATTTGATCATGGATTTGTTATAAACTACACTATTAGAAATAAAAAAGAAACTGGACTTTATAATTAGTTATTTAAATGAATTATTTTTGTTTATCTATGAACTATAAGTATGTGTTTAATTGTTAGTAATGTTAATATAAGTTTATTAATATATTTTTAATAAAATTTAAAAATAATAGATACATATATAACAAATATAAAAAATACCATTTTTTGAAATAAAAAATAAGTATATTTATTAATATTAATCATAATATATATTGTATACAAAGATAAATATTAAATATTAACTATTTGAAAATTAACAATGTAAACAATAGTATTAAAAATGAAATTTAATTTATATATTTATTAAGCATTAAATTCGTTGCAGCTAGTTAAAAATGATTTTTTAATTGTAAAATATAGACGAAATACGACAAATCCCAGTAAATACACAGCGGTAACTGTAAGATACGTGTATTTCACGGTGCCTTCGGATTGCTAGTTGGTTCGGTGGTCTGGCACAGCAGACAGCGGCTCAGAGACGTATCATCTCTCTCTCTCTCTCTCGTACCTGACCTGACGCCATTAAAATAAAGGGGTTTTTTTGTCCAAATACAATTATGCGAATCTGCGAGGCACGTGATTCGGCTTAGATATTTTCACGAGGAGAGGATCCGATTTGAACCGTTGATTGAAGCACGGAAACGCAGGAAACCAACGGCTGGGATGAGATGAGATTCAGTTAGGAGCGAGAGGCTAAGCGTTGATATGGGTCACGCAAGGCAAGTACGACCATCCAATGATTGCGTTCCACGTGGAATAAAGCTGAGGAATAGCACGTCCAAGCGACATGTTGATATCTGGTAGGTCCCATGGGAAGGAGGGAATGGCGAGCTTAAATTCGGAGCTCTGCAGCAGTTCTAGGAGAAGGGCCGGCGCCTAAACGGCCACACGAAGAGAGAGAGAGAGAGAGAGAAAGAGAGAGAGAGAGAGAGAGATAACGAAGGGGAGAGACCGGATACGGGGGAGAGGCATTTGCGTTCTGTTCGGTGAAGCTTTTCTCTTTCCAAGGTACTGCTGTATATTCATCGTCATTTTCTATACATTCGAGATGATTTTCGACAAATCTGTTTCGGATTTTGGAAATGTTCTTCGCTTTTTCCACTCAAACGTTGAGGTCTTATGATTGCTTGTTGCTCTGGTGACCTAATTTAAGCTAGATTTAGACATTTGCCGTTTTTCCTTGACTCTGTTTGATGTTCCGCTCACATTTTGTCTTTTTACGATGGATTTTCGCCCTTTGAGCCTAAATTTGAATTAGATTTAGAAGTCATCTGTCGGTTTCTGTTCATGAGAGTTGTGTTTTGAGATCTTCTTTGTCCCAGGTTCTACATGCGGTTTTCGGCCCTAACCTGAGCTTAGATTTGTAAATTTTGGCGCCTCTGTAGGTAAGTTTTGAGTGAAAATTGCAAGTTGTTTCTTTACTGATTATCTTTTCGCCTAAAACCGGGAAAAATGCTATGTATCGTTTTAATGTTTTTATACATCCCCAAAATTTTTGCTTCCATTGTTCGGATCTGGTGCTCACTTTATGCATATTCTGTCGATCTCAAACGCATTTTAGTTTTATAATCTGGATCCGCACAGTCACAGATTTATCTTAATTTATTCTGAATCTCTTATGGATGAATTTCTGTTCATCAACTTTCCTTCAAAATTTTTCTTCTCGCTTCTGGTATATTAGCTACTGGCATTGCATGAAACTGTCTGCTGTTTTTTCTTGCCCGAGTCTGTTTATTTTCCCGAGTTTGCTCCTTTTTTTTAGTTTATTTGTTTCTTATCGTGAATTTTTTAATGTTAAGTTGTGAATCCTACGATATTTAATTTTCTGGATTCTTGTTCCTGATTTGATTCCAAGCCATTGCATTACCTTTCCATGTTTTGGAATTTGGTTCTTGACAACCATTTTATATCTTAATTTGTTTAATGGTACATGTGTATGAAATGATTAAATAATGGTTTCTTTTGTTAATTGCATATATACCTGTTTTGGAAAATATAAAAGAAATTCTTAATTTGAGCGTCCGGTCGTTATGACGAAAGGCACAGTCTAATTGACTGGTCTAGCGGTCGGCTCTTCGGTCTGCGTGAGCCGTCTAGCTTTTCGGCTGGCTTTGTTTTCCTCTCCGGATTCTTGGTTCTTTCTTAAAAGTCTATAAAATATTGTTTTTAGAACAGTAATTTATAATTTTGATTTAATGCTGGTAAGAAAATGTTTTCATCTGACTGGTTATTTTCCCTAAGGTCAGAATCTTTTACCTTTTTGTGGTATAAGAATATTAATAACTTTATGCTCCCGGTAGATTCCCTCTTCTAAGTGCTCTTGCTGATATTTTATGCTCTTCTGAGAGTTCAGATTAAAGGTTTGATTCCCTTAAAATATAACCTATTTGGATCAAAAAGGACTTTATATATATATATATTATAGATTTGTCATTATAACGGGTTTATTTATGCAATGTTATAAAGAAACAAATATATTAATTTAATTTTTGGGAGAAAAAGTACTTTCGGCGCGCACTCGTGATAAAAACTCATTAAATATTTGACCATATGAAATTATTGTATGCCATAGGATGCGTGGAATATAAATAGTGGTTATTCTAGTACAAATATAAGGCGGTGGTGATCTCCTTTTTTTCTCCGGAGAAGAATGTTTTAAAAAGAGTTTTCAACAAATGATACTATTTTGAGCCATGATTTTTTTGTTAATGGATGAGGTAATAAAACTTTTGTTGAAAATTTTGGATGGGTTAGTAAAATTATGAAAATTTATAATTTAATAGTAGACTGTCTATAACCTCGTTTTCAAAACAGATTAGTAAAATTATCACTTTTTTGTATTAATAGAATTACCTCTTGGATGTGCGGTTAGTATTTTCGTCTATTCTTATGGATATGAGCAACAAGTTGTAGTTTTTGTTTTTAATTGTTATTAAATAATTTTAGGTATACATATATATAATTAAAATGATGTACAGACTGTGTCACTTGCCCAATCACGTGGAAATTCTTGATATTGGTTCTCTCTTCAGCAAGGTACATGAACGTGATTGATTTTGTGGCTAAAGTTTGCTTTGGGGTCGTACACCCTCTCGGTTGACGCGGTCGTACTAATTTTCAATAGTTCGATCATGTGTATGACTGCATGGGCACCCCACGGTTGAAATGGTCCCTTCTCAAATAGGTTGTCACTTGCGTCGTTCCATCGGTCTGGCTGTTGTGTCGTTTTCTTCTTTACTTTCTTCATAATAAGTTTGCATCTCGTGGTTCGTGTCACGTGAGCTTGCAGATGGGTGTTTGCGCTGTCGTCTTCCATTGGCGACGTTGATTCCCTTCATTTCCAGTGGAAGAGCATTGTCTGTCCTCTTTCATTTTCTTCTGGAATGGTGGTTGGCGTCGTCATTAACTATGTATTGTGTAGGGCAGAGAAGACAGCCTTTTTATTAATCGTTAAAAAATGTTAATCAATCTGGTCCATTTAAGTTAACTTTCAATCAGAAAAGTTAACTGAGTGTCTCACACAAACTGCTACTTTTTTTAAAACACAACTTCCTTTCCATGTTTAAGTTTATTAGATACTTGATGATCTTTTTAGTCTATGTTGTCAATTTAGTTCATGTTCTTAGAAATTCACCTTACGTGGGATGTTTGAAATTTCCTTGTAAAATAGAACATCTTACTGTTTGGGGTTATTTTCCTTTTCGTGAAGTTATAAAATCAAATCCAGTATTCTGTCAGATCAGTTGTTTTGTGGCGTATTAGGATTCTGTATGGCTGGTTAGAAGCTAAAACAAGTAAATGAATAAACAAACAAACGCGGGAGGTGTGGGTGCACTCCAATCATGACCTTAACCTTGTTTTTGGAGCGGTACCCACCTTATATAGTCCTCCCTGGTCAACCTCACACGACATGTGCAAATGGCATTTCCTTTCTTCCCTTAGTGGATATCTACTCATTATTTTGTATAATCACTTTTTCTCTCTCTCGTTGCGCGGGAAAGCTGACAGGTCGAGCAACTTGGTTAATCAAAATCTGATTGGACAGTTTCCTGGTTTGTTCAATATTAGAGCCGCTTGTCTCTATCTTTGAAGCTCTGAAACATCTGTTCACCGACAATCTGCCTTCAACTTTGATAGCCGAAAATCGCTTTAGTCAATTGCATAATATATTTCCATGTCAATTGTCAATCTGCCTTTTTTTTACCTTACATTTCGTATTTTGTCGTTTTAAAATTATTGCTGAGCAGGGTATGTAACAAGGCGTCGGATTCGGGCTTAGAAAGCCCACATGGGGCACTCGTGTCAATTGAATTTTACACTTCAAGCATGGGAATTTGCTTAATGAAGTGTATTTGTTTTAAGATTTCAAAATTAGAACTTCTATTGTAGGATTGGTTTTGGATGTAGATTACGAATTTATCCTTACTGGTGTTGTTTTGTTAGTTTAATTAGATTTTTGTTTTGCCTGGATTTTCAGTTCTTTGCGGCTATATGATATATTTTTATGTTGAAATTGATTTAAATTTAAACTTTATAAAATAATTATGAGAATGTAATTAGATTGCTAATTTATCCTTACTGGTGTTGTTTTGTTAGTTTAATTAGATTTTTGTTTTGCGTGGATTTTCAGTTCTTTGTGGCTATATGATATATTTTTATGTTGAATTTGATTTAAATTTAAATTTTATAAAATAATTATGAGAATGTAATTAGAATAGAAATTTAAATCTTAAGTTTATTAGAAAATTTAGATAAAACAACATGATTTACGTCGATTTTCTCTTTTCCTGACAGTCAGGTAGGGAAACGATGGGTGCAGGAGGCCGAATGTCCGTACCCACAACACAGAGGAAGTCAGAATTTGACACCCTGAAGCGTGTTCCTTATTCAAAGCCTCCGTTCACACTGAGTCAGCTTAAGAAAGCAATCCCACCTCACTGCTTCAAACGCTCTGTTGTGCGCTCATTCTCTTACGTGGTCTACGATCTTGTCATTGCCTCCCTCCTCTACTATGTCGCAACCAGCTACATCCATCTCCTTCCTCATCCTCTCTCTTTTGTGGCGTGGCCTATCTACTGGGCTCTCCAAGGCTGCATCCTTACCGGCGTTTGGGTTATAGCGCACGAGTGCGGCCACCATTCCTTCAGTGACTATCAGTGGCTTGATGACACGGTTGGTCTTATCCTTCATTCTTGTTTACTTGTCCCTTATTTTTCATGGAAGTACAGCCATCGCCGTCATCATTCCAATACAGGCTCTCTTGAGAGGGATGAGGTTTTTGTTCCAAAGCAGAAATCAAGTATCCGATGGTATTTCAAGTACCTTAATAACCCACCAGGCCGACTCCTTGGTCTTACCATCACACTCACTCTTGGCTGGCCTCTTTATCTAGCATTTAACGTTTCTGGCAGGCCTTATGATCGGTTTGCTTGTCATTTTGATCCTTATGGCCCTATCTACTCCGATCGGGAACGCCTCCAAATATACATCTCTGATGCTGGTATTCTCGCTGTCTGTTATGGGCTTTTCTGTCTTGCAGCAGCAAAAGGGTTTGCTTGGGTGTTCTGTGTTTACGGGGGACCGGTGCTGGTCGTGAATGCATTCCTTGTATTGATCACATACTTGCAGCACACTCATCCTTCATTGCCACACTATAATTCTTCAGAGTGGGATTGGTTCAGAGGAGCTCTTGCCACTGTAGATAGAGACTACGGAGTTCTGAACAAGATCTTCCACAACATCACAGATACACACGTGGCTCATCATTTGTTCTCAACAATGCCTCACTACCACGCCATGGAGGCCACAAAGGCGATAAAACCGGTATTGGGAGAATATTATCAGTTCGACGGGACTCCATTCTACAAGGCAATGTGGAGAGAGGCAAAGGAGTGTATTTACGTTGAGCCAGACGAAGGTGACCAGAACAGTGGCATATACTGGTACAGAAACAAGATCTGATGATTTGTGCAGGTGATGGGAAGGTCCATTCAATAGAGATATTATTTAGTAATTTGGGTACCTGCTAGTAGTACTTTTAGGTTGTCTTGTTTCCTTGGAATTGAAGCTGTCTTGCAATAATTTTTTCAGGGGGGCTAATTGTGGTAGAAATAATACACAAGCATTAGTTTTTTTTTGAAGGGTGTAGTTTGAACCAAAAAAAAAAAAAAACAAAAGTGTCGATCTGGGTTTCAGTCCTGGTTTTGGGTTTTTATTCTTGATTGGAAATTTGGCATGTGACGACGTGGTTTAACCGAGATCGTAATGCCATTGGTGTCATGAAGACATTCAACTGTTACTTTTCTCCGTCAATTATTTCAATGAATGAAAAGTATGCCTCCAAAGTCGCTATGGGTAAAAAGGGGTGCTGGCAAGATGTGTATGCGTATCCTCCAAGTCCACCTTTTTTTTGTTTTCCTCTCATTAAAAAAAAAAATATACTCAGGCCTCCCATTTAAACGTTGTAGTCTTTAAAGGAAAGAGACAAAAATAATACGAAATAACAATGCGCTATTTGTATTCCACGTATCTTCTTCTCCAAGTAGATTAAGCAGGGAGAGAGACCTCTTGTGAGTTTAGTGGTTGTCAAAACAGATCTTCAGGAGCAGTTGGGTAAATTGGATCTTTGGGTGTGGCCCAAAAAGAAAAAGAAAAAGAAAAAGCACCAGTAGTATCCAAAACTGATGGATACTGGATACGCAAACCACTGGTTTTGGGCCTATCAAAGATGAGACCTAGTAATTATTTCAGAACGTACGAAGATGGAGTTGGAATAAATTTCCAAATGGATTCCACAATTCTTTTTTTTATTTATATTTTAACTCCACTCGTTGAAACAAACAGATTTATATATTTTATCAAATAAAAACGATAAAATTAATTAATTAATTAAAAATAAAATATAAATTAATTTAAGTAAATAATCCCTAAGAGTTTGCTCACCTACCAAATTTATCAATCACCCAAAACTCCCTCAATTACTTGTCTCAAAACTTTGTTGGCTTTTTCCCATTCGAAAGGTTTTGTTGCTCGAGTCAATCGGGTAAAGATATCTCACGAACTAATTTCAGCTTTGTATTTAACTCAAACAATTATCACAATATGTAATTAGATCATAATTAATGGTATCATAATCAACAATTTTTTATCGAAAATACCGGAATCTCAATCTACAACTTGAATTTACTTTTTATACAGAATGATAACAATAAATGATTAATGAGTTAATTAACATAATTATTTTTTGTTTAAAATTTAAAATTTTAATTTTAGTGCTTAATTATTAAAATAAATAATAATAATAATAAAAACATTACGTATCTTAAGATTTTTTGCTTTCACATAGTAGGAAGCACGTGGGTTGAATAAATATATACATGAAGAACCAAAATTGACCGACACCTTGTCAATTATTTTATTTTGTATTATATACGTTGCTTTACAATTCATACAAAAAAAGACTTGTTTGGACCATTTACAACGTATTTGTCCTCTCGCTTTCATTTTAATCTTGTTCGTGTAGAAGAGAGATTACAAGAGTAAATGACTAAATAATATTATTATATACATATATATATATATATACATTTTACAATTGTGTAACACAAGATCCTCTCTATAGATGTAAAGCTAAGATTGTATGTGTGTGTGCGTGTGTATCTACATAAGAACAACAGAGATCCCACTAGGGTTTCTTTGGTTTCTTTTGTTCTATTGTCTAAGGTGATTCCAACACTTTGGTAGCGATTATTTATATCTAGGTTAAAGTATATTTGTGTATCTACACCTTATTTACATGCAATCTTATCTTTTTAAACCCTAACGAATACGTATAAACATATATATATATATAATTTTGGAGCACATTTGTGTGTTACTGCAACCCGTCTGGTCTACATATTCTTCGTGTGGGCTCATCTTCTGTGGGTCTGGATTGATTGTGTTCCAACATTATCAATAAAAAAAGAGCAACATGCACCGTTTCTCTTGGAAGTAATATGTTTAGAGTAGGTAAATAATCCTTGACATTTACAAGTCAAGGTCTTCTCATCTTCTTACTTTTCAAGATTACAGACGTACATTATATATATATATATACACACATACACACACAGAGATACGGAAACAACATATATAGTATATACAATTCGATATTCTAGAACACACCCACTGTTAAGATATCCCAAGATACATCTCCAACCACCTGATTTACTTACTATAATTCCCAAATCATTTGTTATGTTATGTTATGTTACGTTATGCATGTTTATGCGGTATGGACGTGGACAAAAGTTTATATATGCGACTTATATAATTAGTGTTTATATTTAAACGGATTATTTTAAGATTAAATTAAAAATATTAATTTTAAAAATTAAGGGCGAGAAGTACGTGACGGAGGAGAGTAGGCAGAATCCCAGCTAGCTCTTACCCCCGTGGCGAGAGTTTTAAGTGGGAACCACGTCATCAGGGTGGGCCCTCACACACTCCCGCTTCGTGTTGGTTGGAACTCGTTGCGTCACGGTTCGTACGTGTCAGGTGCGCAGTGCGCAAAGCATTCGCCACGTGGCAGGTGTTCGGGGTGGGCCGGCCCAGGCCCAGCCAGCACAAGACTCGTGTGTGTACTCAGACTAAAACGTCCGTAGGCCCCACCCCCTCCCCAATCCTCCAAAAATCTTTCGTATCTCGTCGAATCTCCGCTTCACGTGCACATCCAACGGTCACTATTTCTCTCTGACACAAAACTGGGAGGCAGTTCGCTGAGTTGCCGAGTTGTTGCTTTTCTTATAAATATTTTATATTTTATTTATTTATTTTTTCTGTGCCGGCTTGTCATGCTCTCCACCAATAATCCCTTGAGCAAATATCTTTTTTTTTTATATTACATAAAATTTTAATTAATTTAAAAATAAAAAAAAAATTATGAAAAAAAATACTTGAAATATAAAATCCCATTCCTATTTACTTATGTAGAAAACTATATGTATATAAATATGCACGTTACACGTACAACGTTTTTCCTTCCATCTTCGGGCTCGATCTTCATAATCTACTCATATATATATACATATACACACACACACACACACACACACATATATGTGGGTATCCACGTTTATAATTTAGATAAGAGGAAAATTAGAATTAATTTGGTATATACACACAATATATTTATGTGCGATATATAATAATAATAATGTTTAGAAGTACTTTTTCCTTATGGGGAATGTTTAAGAGTCCTTATAAGTTATGAATATTCCACTGTATATATAGGCAGACAAATTCTACTGACTACTATTACACACACACACATGTATATATATATATATATATATATATGTAAACGTATATGGTAATACATTTTTGAGTATCATCCACGTTATATATAAATATAAAGAGCCAATAGACGTTAAAGCCGGTTCCAATTTATTGTCTTTTTAATTCTATACATTAACTTCTCAATATATATATATATATATATATAAGACTTTTTCTCTGTGTGTGTATATATATATGATTCTCTATAATATACTATAAGGATTTCTTGCTATGTTTAACAAAATTGCGTATGGGAAGTAATTGAATTTTGGAAATCAATTAGTGCTTATGTTTCTTGGGTCACGAAAGCTACCTCAATATATATATATATATATATAAGCTATGAATTAATTAATTATGGTACAATTTAATTATATACATACATACATATATATTTATATCAACCGGCATTGATAGATTTCAATTAGTCATATGATTATATTTGTCATTTTTCTAAAAAAGGTCATGATTATATTTATATATAAATAAAATAAGTGCATAGAGACAAACGAAAAAAAACGAAACTATATATATATATATATATATATACGTACAGAGAGTAATTTATATGTATATGCGTATAAAATGTATTTGTACGTATATGTTAAATGCCCGTACGAGAGATACATTGATATTTGACTTTTTTTTTTTTTCTTTGAAAAATTACAAAACTAGAAATATAAAGCGAGGGAGGGAGACGGCGTTAGGTGCCGTTTTGGGTCGGGAGTGTATCTGCTACGCGGAATTTGTACGGTTGTCGTTAATGCAGACCATGATACCTACGCGCATTCAAAGTAATTCTTTCATATTTATTTAATTTCGCGTTTTATTTAATCAATTATTTAATTAAATTCAGTATTTTAATTTCACGCGAAATTATATACAAATTATATTCTGAATTATTTTTAATTAATAAATATGATGAAGGAGAAGGGTATTTTCAAAATTACATAAAATTCTCATATGTATATATATATATATATATATATATTCTCAAAATATAATTCCCTTTTGGCAATTTCTTAACTCTAGTCCCTCAACTTTAGCAAATCGATCCCACCCATCTTACACACACACACACACACACGTACAAACGAATACATACATATACGCACGAACATATATATGTATATATATATATATATATATATGTATA